CACACACACACACACACACACACACACACACACACACACACACACACACACACACACACTAAATGACTATCCTCTAAGGAGCTATGAGTCCTTAATTCTGTCCTGAGTTCAGCTGGCATTTCCTCCATTTAAATCTGTTGCCCTTCCCCCCCACAAGTCCACTCCCTTAGAGAGGGGAAAAAGGGGTTAATATCCAAAATTCATAAAGAACTCATACAACTTCACACCAAAAAAACCAACAATCCAATTAAAATATGAGCAGAGGATCTGAATAGACATTTCTCCAAAGAGGACATACGCATGACCAAAAGACACATGAAAAGATCTTCAACATCACTAATCATCAAAGAAATACAAATTAAAACCACAATGAGATATCACCTTACTCCGGTCAGAATGGCCATCATCAATAAATCAACAAACAACAAGTGCTGGCGAGGCTGTGGAGAAAAGGGAACCCTGCTGCACTGTTTGTGGGATTGCAGATTGGTGCAGCCATTATGGAAATCAGTATGGGGTATCTCAAAAAATTAAAAATAGAACTACCTTAAGACTCAGCAATTCCACTTCGGGATATTTACCCAAAGAAATCCAAAACACTAAACACGAATTCAAAAAGATATATGCACCCCTTTGTTCATTGTAGCACTATTTACAATAGCCAAGATATGGAAGCAACCCAAGTACTTGTCAACAGATGACTGGATAAAGAAGAAGTGGTACATATGTCCAAAGGAATATTACTTGGCCATAAAAAAGAATGAAATCTTACCATTTGTGATAACATGGATGGACCTAGAGGGTATTATGCTAAGTGAAGTAAGTCAAACTAAGAAAGACAAATACCGTATGATCTCACTTCTTGTGGAATCTAAAGAACAAAATGGGGGGCCGGCCCGGGCCGGACCGAGTGGCTCAGTTGTTTAAGAGCTCGCTCAAGAGTGCAAGCTCCGAGCAACAGCGGTTCAAGTCCTGGCCCGAGCTGAGCTGCCACTGAGCTGCCAACAGGTGGCAGGATGGCTCAGCTTAAAATAAATAAATAAACAAACAAATAAATAAAAATTTAAAAAATAAAGAACAAAATGAATAAACAAAACAGAAACAGACCCATAGATACAGAGAACAAACTGATGGTTGTTAGAGAGGAGGGAAGTTGGAGAGCTGGGTGAAAAAGGTGAAGGGATTAAGAAATATAAATTGAGAGTTACAAAATAGTCACAGGGATATAAAGTACAGCATAGAGAATATAGTCAGTAATGTTGCAACAACTATGTACAGGCTAATGTGGGCACCACTGCATAAATTATATAAATGTCTAACCACCATGCTGTACACCTGAAATTAATACAAAATAATACTTAATGTCAACTGTAATTGAAAAACAAATTTTTTTTAATTTAAAAAAGATATTTTTTTCAGTTGCTTTTCTGGAAACACCTTTTTCTCTTGAAAGGCTATTTTCCTGTGGTGACAACTCTTAATGAAAACCATGTTCTTCTGAGCTTGATCACCACAACCACACTGCTGTTTATTTCCATGAAACGTCCCGGGGAAGCCTACTCCCATCAGTTCAGGGTGGTGTGCCTCTAGTGTTTTGGTGGTTGCACAGCTGGGATGAGAAATAGCTGGGACCTAAGTGATCTGAAACCCGCAGTTAACTCTGAGGTAAGTCTGTCTCCTTCTACGAGTGCAGAGAAGAGCCATGCAGCTCTACAGCATCAAAACCTCACTGGCCGCAGTGCAAGGAACTGAGTACAGGTTTTGGGATATGGTCATGGCAGGAGCAGAAATAAAGTGCAGGGGAGCTGAAAAATACACATGCACTTTCTTTTCTTAAGAAAAATCAGTGACTGTGACAGTATACAGACCTTTGGCATCGGCAGAATCTAAACGCTTGGGTCTTTGATTTGATTCAGAAGTTTCCTTTGGAAGTACTGCCAGCTCCACAGAATTTGAAAAGGGTCCTTCCCCCACTTCGTTAGATGCTGATATCTTGACAATGTACACATTTCCTGCCACCAGGTTTTCTAACAAAGCCATGGTTATTGCCCCTATAAATAAATACATCAATTACAAATTAAGTAAACTTTGCCTTTTATATATTCTTTTAATCACACAATCATGGTCCTTTATTTTAAAATTTTTCTGATTATAAAAGTAACACATATTCACTGTAGAACATTTGGAAAATAATGCTAAATATAAATGACAATCTCCCATTGTTAACATTTTGTGTCGGCACCGTACGTGTGTGAGTACATATTCACTACATGCATTTTTCTATCCTTGAGTTTTTTTAATGTTATACAATGCACAACTTCCCCTACATAATTCTTCTTTGTAATTTTGCTTTAGGAGTGGTTCTTAAGAGTAGCATGTATTTTTTTGTTTTATATATATATAAACATATATATATATATTATTTTACAGAAATATACATACACACACACACACACACACTCATATAATGTTTTTACTCTTTTTTTTTAAAGATTTTTATTGGGGAATTGGGGGATGGGAACAGTGCTGGGGAATTGGGGGAAGGGGAACAGGCAAGTTGCTGTCGTTTTGTTCTTCAGTCTAGTTGTGGAGGACGTTGCTTCACTGGCCCATGCTGGCACCATCATTGTGCTCTTCCCAGGCGAGGCAGACCAGTCGCCAGCTTCTAGATGGCCGCTCACTGCAGCTGCTGGCCGCTCACGCTGGCTGCTGGCTACACACGGTAGCCCATGGCAACCCACTGCCATAGGGGCTACAGCCTACGCCGCTGCCGGCGACTCATGGCAGCCCAGCTCCAGGTTGGGCGGTTGTTCAGCATCTTAGCTGTGGAAGGCAGTGTCACTGGCCCTCATATGTGGGATCCAAACCGGGGCCCTCTGGTGTCCCAAGCCAGTTCTTAACCATTGTGCCACTCGGCCAGCCCCTATGTTTTTACTCTTTACATAGGTATGGATACAAACAGTATTAAAAACATTTTATTATGGAATTTTCAAACATGGGTAGAGAGAGAATGGTATAATGAACCGAGATTCAGTAATTTTAGAAATCCAATGTGAGGTTTTTTTTCTTTTAGAAATGTTTAAACTACTATAGTAATCACTGTGATAGATGACCTTGTCCTTACTTCTTAAATTAGAAACAACACAATTATTTTTGAAAGTATGAAAATATGTTTCACCCTCCTAATCATTATCTAGGATTTCTTGAATGTAAACAGGAAAGAAAATGCCACAATTGTGTAGGAACCTCAGTGTTGAAGAGTTAGACCTCAGGTTAACTATCAAAATTACCACCACCAATCTGCTTAGCATCTACTTCTCTCCAAAATTAATCTTCATTTGGATTTATATGTGACATTTGGTATCAAAAGGTATTTTCTCTGTTGATGACTGCTAAGAAGGACTCTTACTTGGGCACTGCTATTTATTGAGGGGTCTTTCTGCTCTTGTTCTGTCACTGCACTGAAGTATTTTTGTTACAATAGGGACTATCACCTTAGGAATTAATCCTAATGTTAAGGTGTCACAGAAATTGAACCAGAAAATTGTGCCAGCACTGCATTTGTAGGTGGCTATTCACAGGGGAACCTAGCTTTCCTACAGCGATTTCATCTCATTTTTTCCCGACTCAGGGACTCCTTACCATAGCTTCGTAGAGTTTACAATAGCTTGTAGCAGTCACCTCTAGGCCAGAGCTGGCTACTCTAGTGCACTTGCAAAAGTAGATTTCATTATGCAAGTGAAATGTGGGGTGATCTTAGAGCTGAGGACATGATTCAGAGGCCACCTCTGCAGGTCACATGGTGTGAGGCAGTTGAACCAAGTGGCGATGTGAGGAGCCAAACACAGCTTGTTTTCATATTCTATGGTTTCAACTTGGCCTGAAGAGAGTGTGAGCTACTTGAGTATACAACTGTTAAATAAACAAACTGACCCCTATTTAGAATCAGGAAGAATCTTTCCACTCTTACCATGTTCATAGGCAGGTGAATTTAAAAACTAACATGTACCATGACAAGGTAGAATTAGCTAAAAGGAAGAACATATCAATTTCTTCACAAACTGACATATAAAAAAAATTGAGTTTCCATTTTATCATAGACTACTTTACACATAATTTTTAAAAGTGCATGGCAAAAACTAATCATTCCATGAAATTAAAAGTGTTTCATGTAATTTAAATTTTCTATGCAGATGAGCTGAATGTGTATTTGTGTGCACAGGTGCCTCCTCCCTTTCTTCAGACAAAAAAAAAAAAAAAAAGGAAACTATAACATTCTGGTTCCTCTATGACCACACTCAAAGCAGTTCTCAAATAGTAAAGTGAGTTGTCTGTCCTTATGTTCTTTTCTCAGGAGACTATCTCAATCTCACTGTGATTATTTCAGTCTACACTATTATATTATTTCAGCCTTTTATATGTGTCTGAATCTTTAGCTAGAGTAAGATTTCACAAACCAGACAGTGTAATAAGCTCAGTGTTGTATCAATGTTGATCAAATGATGGCATGCTACCAACTAAGTAACCTGTGACCTGGGGCACATTACTGAACTTTGCTTTCCTCATGGGGGCAGTAATTCTCACCTCGTGTAATTATTATAAAGACTAAATAAACTACCACTGGCCAGTGTCTGACACAAGTGTATATACTCAACGAAAGTAAGTTTTCTTCCTCATCTATGACCTCCCCCCTTCCCTTTCTGGAGGACTGGAAATTTCCTTCATATTTCAACTGCATAATTTGACTGAACTGCTAGCATAATGCTTTATACAAAAGAATTCTCAGCAAATGCCAGTTGAACTTATATTAAAATATAAGCTATTTGTAATCAAAGGTGCGTTCACTTAAAATGTAAAAGCAAAGGGTAAGACTTTTGAGGTTGGAGAAGCATCCCAGAATGCAGTCTCAGACCTTTCCATCTTCCATCCACATTTTCTAAGTGACTTTTTTCCAGTTCCACAGTCTTCCATATCATCTACACTGTGATGACTTCTAAATTATACCACTAGTCCCACGAACTTAACATTCCCACTGCTTGCTCAACCTCTTTACTTGGACATCTAAGAGGCATCTCAAATTTAACATGTTCAAAACCAAACCCTTGGTTTTCCCCACCAATTTTGCTTCTTTTTTTTCTTACACCCTATATAAATTTGCAGCAAATCTATTAATAGTAGGCTGTTCATTCAAATTATGTTCTAAGAGTTTCTTACTACCTTCCCCATTATCACCCCTTCCCCATTATCATCGCCATTAATTCTCATGTGGATACCTGTGTATTAAATAGTCTCCTAACTTCTACTCTTACCTCCTTATAATCTACTTTTCAGGTGGCTGCCAGAGTAATACTTTTAAAATGTAAATCTGATCAAAAGTCTCCAATGTCTTTCATCTTTCTTAGAATAAAATCTATGGTCCAGAAAGTCTGGCCTACGAGATCTGCCCCTGGTTACCTCCCCACTTGTTTCCTGCTGTCGGCTCTTCCCCCAACTCTAGCCTCCCTGTCCTTCTTGTTCCTCTAATATGCCAAACACACTTCTGTCTCAGGCCCTTTGCACTTCCCCAGGTATCCACATGGCTCTGCTCAGATGTCATTTCTTCCAAAAGAACTTGCCTTACTACCTCCCATCACTTTGTCTTTTCCCCGCTTGTAGTTTTCTTTATAGTACTTATGACACATGACAAATGAATATTTGTACATTTGTTTGTGTGCTACCTTGTGCGTAAGCTCCAGTGGGGGAGGGGCATTGTTTTGTTCACTGTGGTATTTCCAGTGACTAGAAAAGAGCCTGTCACATAGTAATCATTCAGTAAGGATTCATTTAATAAATCAATTATGTTCCTACTATTAGTAATCCAATTTATTTGGCAAATGTTAGGTTAAATGGATTCCTATAGTAAAGGACTTTAATTTCCAATGTGACTCTAATAGGAAGGAATGGTATTTGATTTGATTTAGTTTCTCAAATTTATTTAGTCATGGACCTTTTTTTTTAGGAGGGGCACCTTTATGATCTTGGGAAACTCATGCCATGAGGAACAGAGTTCAGGAATTGCTGTAGTAGAGCATGATGTCTTTTAGTGTCTTTTAGATTTTAAAATAATTGAGCAGTTTGTGCTAATTTACTGTATATATCAGGAAGTGTAAAGGCTATAATTTCTGAACCTTTAAATTACACACAATTTCATGTTACATTTCTGCTCAACCATTTTAGCATGTACATTTGTTGAAACTGTTACAGGAAAAGAGGGTTTTTGGCTTCACACAGGAAAGAATTCAAATGCCTGCCTGAGTGCTGTGTCTGGCAGCACATAGGCAGCACGCTTGGAATCCAACCTTAGTTCCTTCTGCAAAAATAGTCCTCACGCCCCTTCCCTATATTAAAACTGTGAGATGATTTACAGCCACATGAGTGACAGGAGAGACTAACAGAAGAACGGCCCCACTGAGCCCAGTCCAAACTGCTGACCCACAAAACTGAGAGAAAATAAAGTGGCTAAGTTTTAGAGTGGTTTGTTAGGTAGCAATATATAAATGATAGAAATTTAAAACTGTATTGCTGGAAAGTATTTGCATTATTTTCATGTTTCTTCAGTGACTAGGAAATCACTACTTAGTGGGGTTCCTGCTCAATGAAAAATATGAATATGCAATTATCAAAACTTCAGCTAAAGTTACCATTTGTTTATTTTACTATTACATAAAGAGTTGTATATTACATCATTAAAGTTTATTCTCTTAATTGGGTAAATATTCCCCTTGAAAAGTAAAATGCATATGGAAGTACTATAAAGTGTTTAGAATATGGGGGTGGCCAACAGTTCCCTTCTTGAAAGCCTTCTTAAGCTTTTAACTGCTTGGCAAACTGCTCTTTTTCCAGTATGCACATCTGAATTAAGAAATGCCAAAATAATGAAGTTTTACCATTTATATGATGGCCCATCTAAAAACTGGCATTAGAACTTGTCCAAATGAAAGATTCAAAAATTTACAAAGGATATAATGATAAAAGCATGCAGTAAGAATGCTCAGAGTTTTAGAATTCAATTTTACTCAGCTAAAAAAAAAGAAAAAAGCTTAGTGTTAAAAAATTAAATTCGGTGTTCTTAAGCCCTAACCACTTTTTTTTTTTTTAAGATTTTTATTGGGGAATTGGGGGGGATGGGAACAGTGCTGGGGAAGTGGGGGAAGGGGAACAGACAAGTTGTTGTCCTTTTGTTCTTCAGTCTAGTTGTGGAGGGCGTTGCTTCACTGGCCCAAGTTGGCACCATCATTGCGCTCTTCCCGGGTGAGGCAGATCAGTTGCCGGCTTCTGGACAGCCACTCACTGCGGCTGCTGGCCGCTCACGCTGGCTGCTGGCTACACACGGTAGCCCATGGCAAACCACTGCCACAGGGGTTGCAGCCTACACTGTCACCGGCGACTCACGGCAGCCCAGTTCCAGGTTGAGCTGTTGTTCAGCATCTTAGCTGTGGAGGGCAGTGTCACTGGCCCTCATATGTGGGATCCGAACCGGGGTCCTCTGGCATCCCAAGCCAGCTCTTAACCAACGCGCCACTCGGCCGGCCCCCCTAATCACTTTTGCCTGTACTAACATGGACCTTAATATTCATGTGGGTTAATTTAATTGCAAGTGGACCATTTTAGTAGCTGTACAAAGTTCTTCTCCCTTAAACAAGGTCCTCTTCCAGTGTTTGCTACTGTAGTGCAAGATACATCACCGCTGGAAATCTAGTCATTATCTACAACAATTCTCCCTCCCTTAGCCCTCTTCCACCCTCCTTAAACTACCAAATCCTGCCGATTTTACCTCCTTAATCTTTCACTCATCCTCTCCTTTCCATTTCAATGTTCACAGCCCTAATCCAGGTTTTGCATCTCTTTCCTGGACCATTACAATGACTTCCTAGTCTCTTTGTATTACTCTTACCTACCCCCCTCATTCCTCCTCAGCCAAGCCTCTTCTAGTCACAATTGGTTAGAGTGATCTCTCTGAAATGCAAATCATATGATGCTCCTGCTGAAAATATGTCGATGGTTTCCCAATGCTATTTGAATAAAACCAAAATCTTTAATAATTTGTTACTTTATAAATATAAATTCAAAAGACACTCTAGATCCCTCTTTCCCTTTGTTTTCCTATCATTAATAATCTTACCCTTCGTCCTCTTTGGTAATTTATGATCATATTTACCTTCTCGGTGTAGGACCTGCCACTCTCCTGCAATCCAGGCCTTCCTCGATGCATACAAGATAGTATAGCGCGTCACAACGGTCTCTGGGCCATCAGGAGGTTTCCAAGAAACCAGAGCAGTGTCATCCTCTATCAATGTCACTTTTACTCCAACTGGTGGGCCTGTTGGTGCTGTGCACACATGTAGAAAATATGGTATTACTAGGATAAAACAGTCATAAACACTCAAATACCTGGCTAATAGGCTGACAGACATAGAAACAAGTTTGAAAAGCTAGAATCCACCATAAAAACATCTAAAAATCACAGTTTTTACAGATTATTAGTGATAATATTAAACTAATATTTTTCTTTTTCTGAAAGCTAATTTCATTTTTATAATGTTCAAAACATTAAAAAATATATAAAAGGGATGATAGATTCCTAGATGGGGAATTACTAAGTCAGAGTATACATTTTCAGGACTGTTGATATGATGTTGCCAAACTGATTACTAGACTGATTTACAGTTCCACCAGTAGCCCCTGCTCATTAGATATTGAGTCTTATCCCATTAAGTATTGAATCTAAACTACATTTCTTATTAAAATGTATAGAATATATATTCAACCTGATCTAAGAAGTCACAGAAGAAAATACTTCTGAGACCAAAAATATTTAGCTATTCTCCAAGAAGTTGTGAATCACTGAATTTATATGGCAGACTTCACAGCAATAATTTATAAAAAGTAGTGAAAAACAGTGAAGTCTTGAGATTTTAACTGACTCCATTTTTTTTTGTTGAAGATTTTATTGGGTAATTGGGGGAGGGAACAGCATTGGGGAATCGGGGAAGGAGAACAGCATTGGGGAATCGAGGAAGGCTGTCCTTTTGCTCTTCAGTCTAGTTGTGAAGGACATTGCTTCAACTGTCCCATGTTGGTATGATCATTGCGCTCTTCCGTGTGAGGTAGATCAGTCGCTGGCAATGCACATGGTGGCTCTTGGCAGCTCACACCGGCTGCCAGCCACACACAGTAGTTTATGGCAGCCCACTGCAGCAAGGGCTGCAGCCTAGCCATCACTGGCAATTCACGGCAGCCCAGCTCCAGGTCGAGCTGTTGTTCACCATCTTAGCTGTAGAGGTCAGCATCACTGGCCCATGTGGGATTCTAACTGGCAGCCCTGCTGCTCAGAGCTCGCGCTCTCAAGCAAACTCTTAACCAACGAGCCGTTTGGCCAGCTTCTGACCCCATTTTTAATATGAGCTAAAAGTGTGAAGAGTTGGGTTTGGCACCACAACACATATGGAATATTATCAAAACTACAGAAAAGAAGCCCTTGCTCACTGAAATAAATGTCCTTTGCTTTCTCTCTGCATAATTAAAATAGGGGTCCTTATAGATCATCTAGGTCTTCATCTTCATTCTAGAGAAAAGGAAATGCAGGTCTAGAGACATGAAATATCTTAGCTAGAGCCACAGGTAAGCTACAGAATTGGTGCTCAATCAGGTATCGTATCCACTGCCCTCTGCTTGACGCTGACCACTCATATAGATATAGGTTCTAATGTGGGCTCCTAACATCATTAACAGATGCATTAGTCACACATTTGTATTTTAAATGAGTCTGGTGCAGCCTTGAACAACACACCCGACTTAAAAAAATTTAGTGTTCCCTAAAAAGACATTAAATTTAAGCCCACTTGCTTGTGCAACACATACACAGAGAAGACAAAAATTAAATTTAATAAAGGGAAAGACATTTCAAAAGTTAAGAAACAAAACAAATACACACACATCAACTGGCTGGTGGCAACCAGGGTAGCATCCTCTTCAAAGTGACATATATTTTTAAAACATTTGGAGAAAACCCCTAAGGGAGCTGCTTTCTTTACCTTCTGGAAGTGTAGAATGGTAGACAACAGGGCTCCAGGGACTGGAAAGCTGATCCACATGCAGTCGAACAGCAAATTCATATTTGGTGTTTGGTTCTAGACCTTGAACCAACATGTGAGTTTCTGATCTATAACAGTGAGCAATGAAGTTGTTAATGCTGGGAGCACATGGTTTCTAAAAGACTGCCAGTACTTCCAATCAATACAGGTAGGGGGGGCATACGGTTATTCATTAGCTCCTTATTTTCTTTAAAAAAATTTTGACACTGGAAGAGCAACCTAATTTGATTGTTAAGATACTATATTTGGTATTATCCCACAAAAATAAGCCTACAAATGGCCTCCCTGAGAGAAAACTAGGAAATTAACAGCATACAAATGTCCTAACACAAAGGGATTTCCTCCGAAATATTTGAAGTCAAATTATTCTTTTAAATCATAGTGATGGGCATCTTATCTGTAACCTAGAAAACATGATAACTAGCTTTATTTTTTGATGCCAGCGTGAAAATGGTCTTTTGTTTCTTTCTTTAAACATGCTTTTCATTAGCTACTTGAAAGCAAAAATAGCTTCTTGCCTAATCTTGTTGCATGAGGCTGGGGAAACAAAAAAAAATCATTTACAGAAGGAAATTAAATGTGAAAAGATGCAGTTTCAGAACTGAATATGCAAAATCCTCGGACATTTTATAAGGAAGATCAGTCCTGAGACAAATGCTTATAGCTCAAGCTGGCTCGAGGAGGAAAGAAATATGAATGGGGAGGAGAGCAAAAATTCCCAACCATTAATAGCAGCTACATACGTTTGAAGGTATAGAACCAAAGAAGCATTCTGCAGGCCGACAGGGTTACAGCGGATGGTGTAGTTAATTATTTGTGCAGTGGTGAACGCAGGCCTCCTCCAGTGCAGGAAGATGGAAGATGAGGTGTTAGCCTTCGCATACAGATGGTGGGGGGGTGGTGGAGGAGGGACCATGCGATCACGAACAGCTATTGGAAGAGATAATGGTAATTTACCTCATGGCATAACATTTACTGTAGAAAGTGGTAAATGGTAAAATCATAATACCCCACCCTATGAGTTGACTTTAGGTCTTTCTTCCATGAGAGGTCTGTAGTGATCTAGAGATCTATTATTCAAACCTGAGGAACTCTTCCATGAGTTAGATAAGGAATCAAATATTATCAATACTTAGATTGTAAAACAGAAGCTTAGAGAAATCAAGCTACCAGGCAAAAGCATTCAGAAAGCCAGTAGTAGACTTAAAGCTAGACCGACACTCACTTTAGCAGCAATAAAACCAAACAGCTCTTAGTAGCAATAAAACTGAACAGCAACTGGAAGGAAATAATTAGCCTCAAGGTTAGAGCAGATAAAAAGAAAACTCAGTATATGTAGGTATCCAGTGTGATTTTCCCAGTTAAATTTCTTATGGTCTTTCTCAAGCAAAAGTAAAATATGTTCTTTAAAATTAAATATATCTCACTTAAATACTTCCTGAGCATGTATTTGTTCAAGATACTATATTAGGCATCATGGAGGATATAAAGTAATCAAACCATGAAAGTTTCCATGTAGTAATGAGAATTAAATTTAAAGAAGGAAGAGGGGTAAAAGGAGTGTGAGCCATACCCAGTGAAACAAGCTACTCTAACTCTTACTTACACACACATCCCGGAGTGCTGACTGTCTGATCTGCCTGATAGCCATCTTCTATGTTGTTGTAAGCCAGTAGCCTCACGTGATATTTTCTTCTGGGGTCTATAAAAAAACCAACAGGTAATAATTAGGTCCAGCCATCTAGATACAAACAAAGGTTCCTGAGCCTTTATAGATTTTGGTTTAAATTTTTTTCTGAATGAATAACAGTTCTAAATGAAATAAAAATTTCTCTCTCTCTATCCTATACAGTGACTCAGCAATTCACCTTAGTATGACATTGCTATTGTCAATTATTTAAAATTTTACTTTACTTAACCTCACTTCAAACAATAACATTACTACCACCACACTTCCTCCTCCTCCTCCTCAACTGATCAGAGATAGGTCTTTGATTTTAAAGGACTTGGGTTGTGTGATGATTCACTTTTAAGAAGTTACACTATGTAGAAGTTTCTGTTGAGTTATTCCGGGGTAGCTTATTAAAAGCATAAAAATAAAAGTGAGATATTTTCCCCTCAAAGTTAAGGAAAATTATAACTGTCATCCTTTAGTACCTTTGAAAAAGTTTATAACCATGTGTTAAGTTTATTTCCACAAACCTACTTTTCAAATTGAGAGCTCAATTCACCAAGAAAGACGAGTTGGAGCTCCCTCTACTGGTGTCCATTAACTATCACAATCTGAAAACTAAAGTCCATTTCATGCATGTTAAAACAAAAATGTTTCTGGCCTTTGAGGAAATAAATGGTTATAAAATTTAAATGATATACTTTAGAAGACACACAAGAAGTTTAATGATATAAATAAATTTAAGTGTAACTGTTTATGATAACATTTAACCATAGAGTGCTTGCTTAGGGCAAAAATAAATGCTATTCAGAAATAATGCATTTCTTTTTTTCTCCCAGCTTTATTAAGGTATAGTTGACAAAGAAAAGTTGTATATATTTAAGGTGTACAACTTTATGCTTGATATACATGTACACTGTGAAATGACCACTACAATGAAACTAATTAACATATCTTCATCTCATATAGTTACCATTTTTTTGTGTGTATGTGTGATGAAAGCACTGAAGACTTACACCCTTAGCAAATTTTAAGTATACAATACAGTATTTATAACTATAGTCCCTATGTCCCTATGCTGTACATTATTAGGTCTCCAGAACTTATTCTTGAAACTTTGTAGTCTTTGACCACCTCATCCCATATCCTCCACCTTCCCACCCCTGGAAACCATCATTCTACTCTTTGTTTCTTTAAATTCAACTATTTTAGATGCAATATGCGAGATCATACAGTCATTGTGTTAGGATTATTTTACTTAGCATAATGTCCTCTAGGTTCATTGATGCTATGCAAATGGCAAGATTTCATTCTTTTTTAAGGCTGAATAATAATACTCCATTGTGTGTGTGTGCACACGTGCCACATTTTCTTTATCCATTCATATATCCTGTCTAGGTTGTTCCCATATCTTGTCTATTGTGCATCCTGCGCAAAACATGGGGTGCAGGTATGTAGAGATACTGATTTCACTTCCTTTTGGTATATACCCAGAAATGGAAAAACAATCATCTTTAATAGATATATACAATGTGGAAATGGGTTTACAATAAAATAATAAAAGATAATTCTAGATGAATTCAAACATTTAAAAATCCAAAAATCAAAGGTGAAGTTTATTAAATTCTCCAAAGTAATTTAAGAGTTTATATAAGTATTTTAGAAACTGATTAATATATTTTAATATTAGTATCAAAATCCATTTAAAGATTTCCTGAAATATAAAAATTTTATTTCTATTTGTTTTGATAAAATTAAAAACACAAGAAGAAAAATTTATATAACAGAAAATTTCTGTACTTTATAGATAAAAAGGTAAGACTACTTAATAACTTTTGACTATCCTATAGAAAATGTTTTTCAAATATATTATGTTGAATATCCCAAAACTGTAGGATATACTCATATGTTATTCCTTTTTGTAAACTGTGGTAAAAAGGTATTAAGTAGCATGTCTAATGTCAGAAAGCTAAACCAAGAACTTGTGAATATGACAAAGTACAGGGCCTTTAAACAAATATATGTGCTTTAGTCACAGCAAGTTAGTCTGTTTTCTTATAATGAATTTTAAAATAGAAATACTTTCAAATACTTTATAAAATAATTACCAGAAAACATAGAAACACATTTGGATTTCATCGCTCAAATGATTTCCAACAGTCAGCACTGAAATTCTAAGATTCAGAAGGTTTTGGTTCAGATTAAGGGCTACTTAATTTGAATCTTTTTCTTTCTTTCCTCCTACCATATTACGGAACTGATTATCCAACTGAATCCTGAGTTCAATGTTACAAATACCTGCCCTGAATAGATACAAATGGAATTCAATTGGCTCTTTGCAATGTAGTTCTTTATAAATTCACAGTGTAATTTTCAAAAATATTTATTTTGTCTCTACTCACAAGAGTATCTTTAGGAAAACTTCCTGAGTGTGAGGTATTATGTCAGGAATGTAGCAGATATTATGTCAGGAATGTAGAAGAAAAGAAGAGTGAGACAGAATTTGTCCAAAGTACCTCCCGGTCTTAGGGAACCAGACACAGATACAGCGGCCTCTTATAGAAAGCTGTTTTTGATGAGGGTTAGGAAGATAGGTGGAGAGATTAATCTTTTTATCTACTGTACAAACAATCGATCAACACTTCATGAATACTTCTCTAGAATGGTATATATATATTTTTAGCCCTAAAATGGATTCTTCAAGGTTTCCCTTATTCCTCGTTAAAAAAATGAACTGCTTAAACTAAATTTGAAACCCAGAATTAACCTCTTTTTTTGCTGATCGGACAGAAGCAGCTTATGTATTCTGAGAAGATGAGAGAACAGAGTTGCTCCCATAACAGCCTGAGCACCTGGCTACTCCCCACTCAGCACAGACGCCAACAAGCCCACATGTGGAGGAGCGCTCCTGATGCCCACCTGGAGCTCACCCAAGTGGCCAGTACAACAATCTTCAGGGCTGGGCTCCTTCTCCTGCTAGTTTACCTGAGGCCAGGAAAAGGTAAGCCACTGAATAGGCAAATCAAGTACTGGAGGGGGGGGGGGGGGATAGAGGGGGAGGGACACTAGATTCCTTTCTGTGGAAAAAATAATTTAAAGGAGAGGGAAAACCAATTCACATTTGTTCACATGTGGTCTCCTTTTTACGCTCTACAAAGAATCTTGTTTTAAAAAAATGAGAAGTGCCATGATGGGGACCGAGCTAAGCAGTGGACCACGTACATTTGCCATGTACTTCTCTTAGGCTTTAAAAAATCTGACACTAATCTCAAAATCTAGTAACTTTATTATTTTGAATTGTTAATCCAGTGACTCCAGAACAACCTGGCTCATTCTTGTTCATCAATTTGTTAGAAACTTGATTTGACGTACTCTTCGTAAATTTAAGAGGGGACCCAAGGACCAGAGCCCTCAAATAATGTTAAAATGAGGCAATAAGAGTCATCAGCTAAGAAAGAAAACAGAGAACAGCTACACAATTAACAAAATACAGAGTAAAAAAATAGAATTTTGGACCAATACATTAAATAGAGTTAAATGCACAAATAATGTGCCTGAGCATAAGTAGCACAAATCCTAAAACTCTACAGTTCTGCAAAGACCCTCCCTAGAATGCATAAGGGACAAAGCAGAGACCCAGGATCAACGCTGAAATGCCACAGGGGACCAGTTCCCATGCCCTGTTACAGCCCTTCTTGAATTAAGCACTGCCACGTATGTGGTGCTTGGTTACGCGAGACTCAGCAGAGTTGGGCTGTGTGGTTTAGGGGGAAAACAGCAGAGGCAGGAAGAGTAGCCACAAAAAATAATGCAGGCCTCCTCCAACCAAGCGAGGGAAGGAGAGAGGAGCGAGTTGGTCTCAGTTCCTTAAAAACTCAACACAAATGGTATAAAAAAACACACTCCTCAATAGGACTAACTTAATGGTCCCAAGGGTGATGGTTCAAATAAGTAGAATTTGGATTTGTGGTTCAAGTTGCTTAAATATTTAGCAATATATAAAGAGGAGAAGTCAGGAAAGAAAGTTCAAATTAATTTAACACAAATCTGACTCCAAACACTTTGATTCATACCTCTGGAGTGTCAGCTAAAGTTAATGTGACTGTGGTCCCAGCCACATTAATGTATCTTTCTGTATGAGGGAGTCAACCTTCGGCCAAAAAATGAAGACCTTCGTGAAACACTGCTATGGTTAAACTCTTTATCTTTTCTCCACTGGCTCTAGGACTCGCCTCACTTCTTTTCTTTCTGATTCATTCTCACACTAGCTCTTCTACTTGAGTTTGTTTCACATAAGGAGGAATCAGAAGCAGAAGTCTGACTGGTCAAGAAAGAGTTCACAGGTATCAAACAAACAATTATAAAGTACCTCCTAAAAATCAGGCATCATGGGAAAGACTCAAGAATTAGAAGGACATAACTCTTGCTTTTAATTTCAATCTACCGAAGGAGACAAACTGGTAAATGAATACTCTGTATTGTTTACTAACTGTATAACCTTGAGCAAGTTTCTTAGTTTTCTTAGCCTTATTTATTTTCCTTTGGAAAATAGAGATGTAATCCCTTAGAGAGATTTGAAAAGTATTAAGTGAAACCATGCATATTAAGTACTTTGTACAGTTCCTATAATTAGTAAACACACAATGTTACTGCTGTTATTATGGGAGTAAAGTTGCCTGGGAGAACAGGAAAAGTGCTACCAAAAATATAGTGCATTCAGTTTGGGAATTATCTTTGTGAAGTCAAATGAATATCAAAGATGCTGGTTCACACAAGCAAGGTCTAGAGTCCAGAATATCAACAAATTAACAATTAGCAAATACTGAAGCTGGGTTATAACTACCCTCTGTCCTCATTAATATTCCTTGGTGTATAGAGCAGGCAAAAGTGTGTGTTTGACTTATATGTATGACTGAATGAAGTCTGTTTACGGCCACTAAGAATGCTTGCTGTTTTGGCAACCATGTCATATGGTATATAATCCTCTCAGTGTCAAATCCACCTTCATCTATGTTTCCCATATTAATCTA